CAGGGCTGCTGCTGCCGTCATTTAATGCCATACCACTGTTATTCGCTGCACCATTGAGTAAGGCATCGAGATTATCTCCGTGGATATTAATAGTAAAAGTAGAACGGTAGTGCTGTTTTTGTTTCTCTTTTTGTTTCTCCTGTGTTTGCTCCGTCTTATTTCCGTCTGTATGGCCTTGCTGCTCACCAAGAGAAGTTTCCTTTGTCTGTGGGTGCTGCTGAGTCTCCAACTGTTTTTCTTCCTTCTTCTTGGCAGCAACAACTGCGGCGTCGAGTTGGTTAATTGCCTCCTCCACACGTTTAGCATGAGTTTCCGCATTTTCGATAGCAGTGTTAGCAGCATGTACCGCTTTGTCTGCATCTTCAACTGCTTTGAATGCCGCCTCAGCATTTTCTCGTAGAAGACCAAGGGTGGCTTTTTCGAAAGTTTCCTCTGCACTTTCTGAAGTTTTACTGGCCACTTTTCTTGCTTCAGCTGCAGCCTGTGTTGTATTATCGATGAATTCACGACCTTCACTCTTCCTTTTCTTCACCTCTTCTGGGTCAGCAGCAATTATTTGGAGTGATAATAAAATTTCTTCAGCAAATGCTTGAGCTTTATGCGCGGCGTCTTCTGTGGAGGTTGCGACTTTCTCACACTCCTCATTCAGTCTCAAAGTCTCCCTAAACTTCTCTTGTGCTTCCTTAACAAATTCTGCGTGACCTGAAGTAGCATGAGCCACACCAACACAGCAGAGCACAATGGCCAACAGAAACAACACACGGCACGACAAGATGGACATTCTTGTCATTAATATCACTGAAAATCACTGAAATCTGAGCATGTGTGTATAAAGAGAGAGAAGAAAGAGAAAAAAAAACACCAGTTCACCGCTGTTACTACAAACACACACAAACACATGGAGTTAAGCTAAATGTAAAGGAAGTATACACATTAGGGGAAAATACCCATTATTCAAACAAAATGAAGAATCATCCAATCCCATAAGAAAAAAGAAAAGATCATATACGAATTGAATATCATTTGGTAACATTGCAGAGATAGCCACAAACACAAAAACAATAATAATAACGAATAATGTATAAATCTCTCTTTGTGTTGGTTTCTCCCTGTTCCCATTACAATATTTAGTGTCCACAGAGAAACAAGAAAATCATATTTTACCCCGCTCAGAAATAATGTGAAAGCAAATAAAAAGAAAAGAGATATCATTTACCAGAATCACACAATTGCAGAGTGAGACACACCACAAGGTGCACAGCAATACTCTGCTTACAAGTATAAAAATGAAAAGAGATTAGGTATTTCCACACAAAGTNCAGGTTGGTAGACACTCCTCCTGCGAGTTTCTGAATCAGCGAGGAACGCAACAGTAATTCTTCTTTTTTCACAGTTGCTTTCTTTGTTGCATTGTCAACATCTGTGGTTCCTGCAGAACCACTTTCGGAGACAATGATAGCAGTGAGAACGGTTCTTGCATTTGACTGTGTAAGAGACGTCCTCTCAGATGGAGGTGTCTCCACTTCTTTCTTTGCTTTTTCAGCCTCTGCGTTAAAGTTATCCCTTGCCACTGTTACTGCATTGAATGCTGTCGTTGTGAGTTCCACTGCTTCAGTGACCTTCTTTTTTACCTCCGTGATCTTCTTTTGCATCTCTGTTGCCTTCTGCACTGCTTCTTTGGCTGCTGTTTGTGTCTTATTTGCGGCTTCCGATGCGTAATGTGTTGTGGTCTCCACACTCTGCGCTGCACTCACCACCTTATTGGCCTCCTCCAACACGGCAGAAGCATTAGTCTGCAGCTCAGTCACAACAGTTACTGCCGTTTCAAGTAAAGAAGCAGTCACATTCACCTTTCCACTCACAGATAAAAGGCTATCAACTGCACCGGATATTTTATTTTCAATAGACTCTACTGCTTCGCTTTTGTCTACTTTAAATGGAATTTTTTTTCCTTTTGTTGAAGAAGCTGCACGGACATCTGATGACGTTCTATTATCGAATTTTGGCATTAATTTATGGTGTCTTTCCACAAAAACCCTCGTCAGTTCATTCACGATGTTTTCCCCATTTTTATCCAATTCTTCTTTCGCTTCCCTTGCGCTTTCCATAGCTTTCGTTGCTTCTGTCTGTGCCTCAGTAATATTCTGCCTAGCACTGTCAAAGGACTCTGCAGCAATCGTCGCCTTTGTCTGTGCCGCTGTAATACTCCCCATTATTTTGTTGGCGACTTGCAGAGCTGCCTTGACACCATCGGAAATCTTTCCATTTGCCACTGCTGATACTCCTGCTGCTGCTGATGTAACTCCACCAGTAGCACTTGTCTCACTCGTTGCAGGGGCATTTTTATTTGCAGATAACTGCTGATCCTGAGAAGTACCCGTAGTTTCACTTACACCCACACAGCAAAGCACAATGGCCAACAGACACAACACACGGCACGACAACATGGACATTCTTGTTATTAATACCAGTGAGAATCACTGAAACCTGAGCATGTGTGTGTAAAGATAGAGAGAGAGAAAGTGAAAAAAAAAGGACCAGTTCACCGCTATTACTACACACAGACACACACATCGAGTCAAGCATGAACGCAAATAAAATAGATACACTACTGAAAATAACCATTATTCAAACAAAATGAAGAATCATCCAATCCCAAAGAAAAAAAAAAGATTATAAACGAATTGAATATCATTTGGTAACATTGCAGAGATAGCCACACACAAAAACAATAAATAATAATGGATAATGTATAAATCTCTCTGTGTGTTGGTTTCTCCCTGTCCCCATTACAATTTTCAGTGTTCCCATAGGAACAAGCAAATTACACGTTACCCCGCTCATAGATAATGTAAAAGCATATAAAAAAGAAAAGAGATATCATTTACCAGAAACACACAATTGCAGAGTGAGAGACACACCACAAGGTGCACAGCAATACTCTGCTTACAAGTATCAAAAATGAAAAGAGATTAGGTATTTCCACACAAAAAAGTGATGCACCTCCGTACAGTGGGTGTCATCGGGATTAAGTTTCTCGGTGTTCAGTGTACTGAACACAGTAGCAATTGTATTATTATTAATAGTAGTAAACAAGTGATTACCAACACTCTCTGGATGGGATCCCACCACAGTGCTTAACACAAGGTCATGCAGCCCAGCACAGAGAGAAGCAGCAGCAGGAGTGGAACACGCAGTAACGCAGGGCTGCTGCTGCCGTCATTTAATGCCATACTACTGTTATTCGCTGCACCATTGAGTAAGGCATCGAGATTATCTCCGTGAATATTAAGAGTAAAAGTAGAACGGTAGTGCTGTTTTTGTTTTTCTTTCTTTTCAGCTGCAGCAACTTCGGCGTCGAGTTCCTTCAGGATATTCCCCACACGTTGGGCAGCACCTACCGCATCGTCGGCATATTCTCCAGCAACACGTACCGCTTTGTCTGCTTCACCAGCTGCTTCCATTGCTGCCTTAGCATCTTCTGGTGGTAGACCAATGCTGGCAGCTGTTTCAGTTTTAGTTAGACTGTCTGTCGTTTTACTGCCCACTATTCTCGCTTCAGCGGCAGCCTTCATGGCCTTATCAATGAGTTCATGACATTGAATCTTCGTTTTGTTCACTTTTTCTGGGTCAGCAGCAATTGTTTTGATTTGATCCTTAGTGGAAAAAACAAATAGTTGAGCTTCATCCGCGGCCTGTCGAGCAGTCGTACCGGCCTTCTCACACTCCACCTTAAGTTTCTTGGTCTCTTCCGCCAGCTCACGTGCATCCTCTACATATTTGTTCATACCTGTTGATGGACCAGCAGCAGCATGAGCCACACCCACACAGCAGAGCACAATGGCCAACAAACACAACACACGGCACGGCAACATGGACATTCTTGTCATCAATATCACTGAGAATCACTGAAATCTGTGTATGCGAAGGGAGGGAGAGCGAGAGAAAAAAGAGAAAAGCACCAGTTCACCGCTATTACCACACACATATCGAGTCAACCATGAATATAAAGGAAATAGATACACATTAGGGGAAAACACCCATTATTCAAACAAAATGTAGTCCCATAAAATCCCATAAAAAAAAAGAAAAGAGATTATAAACAAATTGAATATTATTTGGTAACACTGCAGAGATAGCCACACATACAGCAAAAATTAATAATAACGGATAATGTATAAATCTCTCTGTGTTGGTTTCTCCCTGTCCTCATTACAATTTGCAATTTCCCCATAGTAACAAACAAATTATATTTTACCTCGCTCAGAAATAATGTGAAAGCAAATAAAAAAAAGAAAAGAGATATCATTTACCAGAACCACACAATTGCAGAGTGAGACACACCACAAGGTGCANTCACTTCTTCAGCATGAGTTCTCGCAGCGTCGATATGTCCTTCAGCGTCAAGTACCGCGTTTTGTGCATCTTCAATTACTTTCAATACCTCCTGAATTTCTGCTGTTTTTGACTGATTAGTTCTTTCTGCGTATAGCTGAATAAAACTGACTTTGTCGTCAGTTTTATCTGCCATTTCTCCAGTTTTACTGGCCAGTTTTCTTGCTTCAGCTGCAGCCTTCGTTGCCTTTTCAATGAGTTCATGACATTGAATCTTCGTTTTGTTCACTTTTTCTGGGTGAGCAGCAATTGTGTCGAGTGTCTCATTAGTGGTAGCAACAAAATATTGAGCTTCTTTCGCGGCCTGCTGAGCAGTCGTGCCGGCCTTCTTACACTCCTCTTTCGCTTCCTTTGTCTCTTCCGCCAACTTATTTGCCTGCTCAACATATATTTTCATAACTGCTGACGGTTCAGAAGCAGAATCAGCATGAGCCACACCCACACAGCAGAGCACAATGGCCAACAAACACAACACACGGCGCGACAACATGGACATTCTTGTTATTAATATCACTGAGGATCACTGAAATCTGAGCATGTGTGTATAAAG